AACCACACACACACACACACACACACACACACACACACACACACACACACACACACGTATCTGAATCACCAATGACAGGCGGCTGGGAACAGTTTTACGCCATGAAGGAATGGATTACTGAATGGATGAGAGGATGAGGGGGTGACAGCCACACATAAGTAAGCAAATGCACAGTTGGTGATAAGTGTCTGTGGGCGTGTGAGCAGCTGAGCCGGGCGTCTCCTAGTTCAGGCTGTGGAGTCGCAGTATTTGGGCTTGAATCGGGGTCCCCACCCAGCTTACCACGAGAAGCAGAAAAAGAGGGACCAGAGAGGAGTTGGGGAGCACCACAAAGGCCTGGGTCTCCATGGCAGGGTGGAGCAAGAGGCCTGAGGGCTGTATGAGCAGGCGTGGAGGCGTGGAGGAGGAGATCAGCAGCTGTATCTCTGTGCTGGGGAACATCAGAGCCACCTGCAGACCCAGCACAAGTGACAAATGACAGAAGAGGTCCTTTTTATTGAACGTTTCTGAGACCCATGCAAGCCTGCCATCCTCCCCGGGCGATTCAGCTGAGGTAACAACTACAAGGTCAATGTCCAAGACAAACCTCCTGGGCACTTCTACCAGTCACACCTCCCCAGCCACCACCTCCTTGCCGAAGTTTCTGGACACTATTGTAAATGGAATGCTTGTGCTCCTTCTCCACAGCTCACATTAGCTCTAAGAGAGGGGCCTCTATAGAAGCCAGGTTGAATGAGGCCATGAGTGTAGGGCTCTGAGCTGAGGGCTCGTCGCCTCAGAAGAGGGGACACTAGCACTTTCCTCTCCCTCCCCATTGGACTACTGGCTGGCAGACTGTCCTCCCAGAGCCCCAGTCTTGGTCTTCCATACACAGAAGTCTTAGAAATAAATGTCTGGCTTAAACCATTCAGCCTGCAAAAGGAAGCTGCCTGTCTGCCTCGTCTATAGCAACTTCATCTACCCACTGATGTCACCATCACAGTCTACATGCATGGTTTGTTCATTGAACTGCCTTGTGCACCTGAATGGAACATTTCTGTCTTCACAGGACTGAGAGAGGCAGGAAGGAGAAGAACTGAAGGATTCAGAGAGGGGAGAGGAGGGCAGAGTGGGGAGGGACGTTCAGGGGCAGGGTGAGGCAGAGGAGACAGAGGTGTGGAGATGGCAGATAGGCAGTCTGTTCTGTTGGTCCCCAGCTCAGCAGGGATTTGATGGATGGGTGACTCACCATCGGGGCATTGATGGGACACCTGACCTATCCCTGGGCTTGGCTATTCTGAGCCACCTCCACTCTCTCCTGCTGTCTAAAGACCTGAAGGGGGTTCTCATCCTATCACGATGGTCCAGTCCTCTCTGGTACTTTAGTGAGCTGAGTGAGGAGACAACACTTTCCTACCTTGGGCAGAAAGTTCCCAAGGAGCTCAGTGTTCAGATGGAATTTGGAATCCTCTGGCAGCTGCAGGGAGGAGAGGAGAGGACATTGGGAGATTTCTAAAGCTGAGAATAGGTGCATGCCAGGCCAGGGGTGAGACACTGAACATCAGTGCACACTGGGACCACGGTGACAATACCACCTGGCACTACGACTAGGTTAGTTATTGGGTAGGAAGGGTGGGCGTGGCCAGTGACTGCCATCTGCTGCCACAGCAATCCCAGGATGCCTGTTCCATTTGTCCTGCCTCCATGCTAATCACAGCAGTCTGACCTCCCCACTCCTCCCCATCCTGTGATGCCCCACCCCTGCCACCTTTGACTCCTGAGGTTCACCAGCCATGGGGCCCAGTCTTGCTATGAGTAAGCAGCCTGGCTCCCCTGGGTGGTTTGTGTTTTCTTCTATAGTGGGTAAAAGGGACCCAGCATGTAGGTGGCCAGGCTGGGGTGGCTCCCAAGCTGTAGAGAAGGGGGTTACTTCATTATGTACAGACAGGGAAACTGAGGTCCAGAGTGAGTCCAACCATGAAAATGTGGCGAGAGACAATGATGCTAAGTCAGGGTGGGACTAACATTGTGTGTGTGTGTGGCGGGGGGGGGGGGGGGCACTGCTATGCACACTGAGCCTGGGATCACAGCCTCTTACTCTGTCATTTCAGTTAATACAATGGCCTCTGGAGAGGACACTAGTGTCGGTGGCTTACAAATGAGTCTGAGGTACAAGGATGCATAAGTGACCTAGAGTGCCTCAGTTGAAAAGGAGTGGAACCAACGCTTGAACCCAGGGCTCCCAGCCTCCTGGTCCTCACAGCACCTTGAACTCCCACCCCTGTGAACAAACCCTTCCACCTAGGTATGCTGAATGTGGAATCCACTGCTCTTCTGCACTCAGTCAGCCACACTCACCATTTCGTTCCTCAGTGTTATTTTCAAGTTTCCAGACTCATGATATGCAAATCCTGCAGTGTTAAAGAAGTAGTCAGAGATGACCAGGTACACCATGTGGTCCTTGTCGGGGAAAAAATCCATTGTTGGTGGGATAAAAGGAAGTATGCTTCGGCGTTCCCGCCAGAAAAATTCCCCCTGGGTGGAAAGAACAGAGCAATCAGGTCTGGGTGTCCTAAAATCGCAGGTGAGCATCTCTAGACCAGTAAAAGATGGGAGAGAATGAGCTGGGCATGAGCAGGAACTGCTGGTGGCAGCATGGGGCACCAGGGAGCACTTTCTAGCATCCTAGGGAACGAGAAGGTCACACAGCAGGTAAGTGGCAGAGGCATCCAGCCAACATCTCCCATCGCACCATTCCACCTCCCTCTTGCCAGTCAGCTCAGCAGCCAGTAAAAGAACAGTGGCGTACGGATTGCCTCCTCTGTTCCATTAGCAGAATGAGGAAAGCTGAAGTGTGTGTTTTTGCTAAGTGTTACATGCAACTGGGAGGATACATGTTCTTTGTGTCTCTAAAAAGCACTTTGACAACGTGCGGTGAAAGCAGACTGTTTGTTTAGGAAGAAAAATAATGTCTAGCTCAGAAAAGCAAATTATAGATACATATGGTAGAATACCACTTATGTAAAAAACTTAAAGAGCACAGAAAGTCTAAAGTGTGCCCCCAAAAAAAACAAACATCATAGTCAGTGTGGTGCCTGGTGTGGGCAGGAAGGTAGTGGGAAGTTCCCTGAACCTCTGGTGACATTCATCCAGGTGGGCCCAGTGCCGCTGAGTTATAGCCTAGCCCCATTCTCTGAACAATTCGTGCTGTCCTTTATTGTCCATATTGCCCACACTATGAAATATCATATAGTCCCTTCTTTTCCTTGTGCCTTCCTTTCTTCCTTCCTTCCTTCCTTCCTTCCTTCCTTCCTTCCTTCCTTCTTTTTGAGACAGGGTCTCTATGTAGCTTTGGCTGGCCTGAAACTTGCTGTGTAAACCAGATTGAACTCACAAAGATCCTCCTGCCTCTGCCACCTAAGTGCTGGGATTAAAGGTGTGCACCACCACACCCAGATAACCAGGCAGTTCTTAAAGACAGTGGGCACTAACTTTAATACACAACCTTAGGAGAGCAATACAAAGAGGAAAGCACCAATCCCCATGAAAAACACATCATCAGCCAGGAGCAGAACTGTGTGTTTGCATATGTGTAGATGTGTATATGTGTGAAAGTGTGTACATGTATGCATGTGTATGCATGTGTACATGTATGTATGCCATAGGTATGTATGTGCATGTGTGTGCACTATGTGTATGTATATGCCTGCATGTGTATGTGTGTATGTGTGCACTCTTGTGTGTATGTGGGTATTTGGAGCATCCAGTCTTGCCCAGCACCTCTATAGAGTAGTCACGAGTGGACAGAGAGCTGTCAGCATGATACCTGTGGACACAGCTGCCTGCTCTTTCTTCCTGGATCACTGTGCAGCTTTACCTGCCCCATGTTCCTTGTTATCCATCCTCCATCTGCCCCTGGCTAACCTCCCATCACCTCTTACCAGGTCCCAGCCCATAAATGTCCCCAAGCTCATCCTTGGGGAGAGCCAGACCAAGGCTGCCTTCTTACACTTACCAGTCATATGAATAACTCTTGTCCTTTTAGTACCCAGCATGCCACACAGTGAACAAAATGAGCATGGTTCAGTACCAACTGCAGCTCTGGTTAGCTGCATGGGACACCTGAAAAAAGTCCAGGTGTCCCAGGTGGAGCCTTCTTCTGGCTGTTCACTGAAGGACAGAGCCACCAGTGAAAGGCCACAGGAGACATTTTGTGGGGGGGCTTAGGAGCTGACAAACATTGTACTCCTCTGGCTCAGTGATGGATAGCAGTGCTTATAGGAGTATCATGAAGTGTGTGTGTGTGTGTGTGTGTGTGTGTGTGTGTGTGTGGGTGTGGGTGTGTGTGTGTGTGTGTGTGGGTGTGGGTGTGTGTGTGTGTGTGTGTGTGTGTGTGTGTGTGTGTGCTGTCTCTGTCTCTCTTTATGTATGTTCCCCCATCTGGCTCTCTCTGTGTATGTTGTATTGCTCTAGAGAAGGATGGGAGTGTCTCCATTAATTTTAATGGTGCTTATTTCTGGATGGTATGGTTTAGGACAGTAGTTCTCAATCTGTGAGTCTCCACCCCCACAGGGATCTCATATGAGTTATCCTGCATGTCAGATATTTACATTGTGATTCATAACAGTAGCAAATTTACAGTTATGAAGTAGCTATGAAATAACTGTATGGTTGGGGATCACCACAACATGAAGAACTGTATTAAAAGGTCACAGCACTGGAAAGTTGAGAAACACTGAGTTAGGCAATGCCACTCCTTTTCTACCCGCTGTTGCCTTGCCTACCTTTTCTTCCTTCCTTCCTCCCTCCCATCCAACAAGTTTCCTGAGCACCAACCCTACACCACACATATTTCCAGGTGTTGTATATACAGTAGTGAACTGTACAAACAGTAGTCAATGAAGCAGTCCCTGACCCTCTCTCACCATATAGTGTGGGGGGGAGGTAATTAGTTTTGCTGAGATAAAGGCAGTGTTGGGGTACAGTGGTAGGGCTCTTTCAACAAGAGTGGCTGGGGAAAGCATCCCTGGGAAGACTTCCCTAGGGAGGCCTACTTGATCAAGAACTGGAGGGAAGCAGGGAGAGCAGTGTGCCTATCTGCTGCAGAGAGCCCTGGGCAGAGGGGAGAGTGAGTACAAAGGCCCTGGGCAGGGGGCAGGCATGGGGAGTTTCTGGAATGTTGGTGGCCAGCATGGCTGGAGCTGGGGAGCAGGGGAGTATGGAGTGGGGTAAAGCAAGTAGGAAGAAGTCAGTTTCCAGGGTTACAGGGAGCACATTTGAGCAGGTACCTGTCTCTGTGGAAGCCTCACCTTTAGCTTCCCCTCCAGGAACTCAGTTGTGGCTGTCAAAACCAGTAGACTGTAGTCAATCGCAGTAATATCATCCACTCTAGCTATCACTAGACAGGGAGAAGATGGTTTGTGAGCTGGTTTCAATGGCAGTAGCCTGTATGACCACAAGGGGAACTGTGGTCTCTTTCCATCACCCCACATGATCTCCCTGAGATTCCCATAAAAGAAGTGAAATCTGGTGATGGAGACTGGGTTGGAGCACCTAGTGAGCCAATGCTAGGCTCTGGATTCAGTCCCCAGACTCATGCACACATGTACACACATGTACACACACACTCACAGATAGCAATGGCTAGGTGAGGGAGTAACAGGCTTGTAATCCAATCATGGGGAAGGCAGAGGCAGGAGTTTGAAGCCAGTCAGATTGCTGAGAGTTTGAGGCTAGCCTGAGCTGCAAAGAGAGAGGGGGCGGGGCTGTTCTTTGGTCCTGCACTGAATCATTCTTTATGAACCTGTGTGTTGCAGTCCACAAGGGGGAGGTCCCAACTTCCAGTGTATATGAGTAAAACACATCATAGAAATTTCTGAAATTTGGCAAAGAATGAAATTTATCTCCACACTGGGATCTGGACTCTTCTAGATGGTCCTGGGACTTCAAACAAGTCCTTTCTGAGTCTTAGTTTCTCCAGGAGTGAAGCGGGGAGGCTGGGGCAGGAGGATGCCCGCTGGCAGCAGCTGCTGCTCACTGCCATTTGCTGTGTATAAAGATATTGTTCCCTTTTCAGGGTGTGGGGACAGAGGTCCAGAGAGAAGTGGGCAGTCTTTCATCTCAGGCTGTGTGTGTCATTGGCCTCAGAGAGCCAGGGTGAGGGGGCTGCTAGGTTTGGGGGTGCCAGGGTGCAAGGGTACTGGGATGCCAGGGTGTGGGAGTGCTAGGGGGCCAAGGGGTTTGCCTTCTGCCTGACTGGAGGAAACAGTTGCCTTCTGCTTCACTTCTGGATGCACAAGGAACTGGCCCAATGCCAGCTGTGGAGGACTGCAGCCCGCCCTCACCACCAGACTCAGGCCTGCTCTGTTCACTCTGCTTCCTTTACAGCCCCCAATATCCCCTGTCCATCCTCTGCCCACTCCCAGTCCTCACCTGGAAGAGTCTGGACATACGGCTGCAACTGGGTGGACACAGAGTTGATCACGATCCTGCAGATCTAGGGCCAGCCAAAGAAATGCCAGTGAGCTTCACTAGTGGAAAGGGCCCTCCACAAGTGAGAGTCCAGACACCATCTTTTCTCTGTGGCTATAGCAAAATGCCAGAGACCAAGTAATTTACAGAGAACATGGGTTTATTTAGTTCATGGTTCCTTCAAGTCCACCACAAGTGGGCAGCATCTGCTAAGAGGCTTTCAGACTGTAACATGGTAGAGAATGGAGCTTGGCAAGATAGAGGCAAATGCTAGCTTAGGTCCCCCTACCTTTTCCTATAAAGCTACCAATGCCATCATGGGGGCTCATTTAACCTTATTGCCACCCACAGGCTGCACCTCTAAACACCACTAACAGAATAATTTGATGATGAAGTGTCTAACACGTGAACTCAGTGAAGACAAATCCAGACCACAGCACTTGCTTTCTCTTCCTTTACTGTCTTCTTAAAAATCATGCAGCTAATAAGTTTCTTTTTTGCCTTTGGCCACAGTTAACCGAGTAAGATTACATTGCCTGAATATCTGCTTCCCATGTTTTTTCTGCATGTAAAACTTTCCTAGAGCTAGGAGGAGAAACCTCCTCAATTAAAAAACAAAACAAAACAAAAATAAAAACAAACAAACAAAACAAAACAAAACAAACAAAAAACTATAGCAGGAAATTCCCCCAATTTGGGGAAAGAAATGACATTTAAGTACACTAGATGTTTGGAACACTGTGTAGACCCTACCAGAAGAGAACCATCTCAGATCATATTGTAGCTAAAGCCAAGAAACCAGAACAAAGAAAGAACCCCAGAGACTGCAGGAGAGAAGGTGCTTACAGGGGCAAAATTCCAGAGCAAAGGCATACCTGACCTCGGAAGCCCCTAAGGCAAGGAGAGTGCTCAGGCATTTTCCACCCTGAAAGAAAGAACCGCCAGCCAAGAGCTCTACCAGGCAAAGCTAACCTGGGGCAACAAAAAAGGGAAGTAAATACCTTCTACATGTCCACAAATTACCAGTCCGAGAGCTTGGGCCAGGATACATCTCTCATGTTCTCTTTAGGAGAACGACCAGTGAGAGGACAGAAAGACTCAACCTGGCTCAATAAGCTAGAAAGTCTTCAAGAAAAAGAAGTTTGTGTGCAAAGGGGCAGAGGTGGCGCACACATTTAATTCCAGCGCTGAGGAGGCAGAGGTAGGTGGATCTCTGTGTGTTTGAGGCCAGCCTGGTCTACAAAGCTACACAGAGAAACCCTGTCTTGGAAAAATAAATAAATAAATAAATAAATAAATAAATAAATAAATAAATAAATAAACAGAACTTAGTGTGCACCTCTTGGGGGTCAACCCTAAACGTGGGGTTCAATGGTAAAAATATTTGCCAAGCAAGAGTAAGGACCTGAGTTCGAATCCCCAGGACCCATGTGGAAGCTGGGCAGGTAGCAGAAGCACCTGGAACTCTAGTGCTTCCTATGGAGAGATGGAAAGTGGAGACAGAAAAGAGCCCAGAGCTTGAGGGTCACCTTGCCTGCTGTATGCAGCAGAAAAGTGACCAAGGGACTTGCACGTCTCAAACGTGGTGGAAAGTGAGGATGGATACCTGAGCTGTCCTCTGATTCTACATGGGCAGAGTGGCACAAGTGTGTCTGCACTCACATGAGTACCCACATACCCAGCACTCGGGAGGCAGAGGCAGGCAGATCTCTATGAGCTCAAGGCCAGCCTGGTCTACAGAGTGAGTTCCAGGACAGGCTCCAAAGCTACAGAGAAACCCTGTCTCCAAAAACAAAACAAAACAAACAAACAAACAAACAAAAAGATGCAGACTGGATGAATGGATTAAGAAATAAAGTGCCCACTTATTTGCTGGACCTTGGTTTGCAGCCCAGACCCCTTCCTGGGTGGGTAGGTGGGGCTTCCCAGTGGAGTTCAGCGAAGTAGGGAGAGACAGAGCAGTGGGGAGGAATATAGGACTTAGGAAGGGAAAAGAGGAGGCGTGGAAAAGCTGCCCCTGAAATGTGCTTCTGCCATAGCAGGCCCGGAAGTCCCCAGGGCCATCCTTCTCTGAGGCACTTCTCTCACTGGCCCAAGCTGGGAGGCGCAGCAGGGGCAGCTGAACCCTCCCGCTGCCCCTCAGATACTGCCTGCTCCCACTGCCCCGTTGCTTACCCACCAGGCCAATAGGGGGCTCCAAATCAGCCACTCTCCTGGAGCCTCCCATGGCCTCAGCTCCCTTCTTGGCTGACTCCCCGTGTACTCCAGCCTGCTCAGGCCCACTTGCAGCCTTGGGGTACCTGACACCTCACTTGTTTAAGCAAGGGCTGCTGCCAAGCAGGATACCTGCTGGTGATTGTCTTTAGGCACCCAATGCCAGAGCGCACACAGGATTCTTGGAATTGTGCTAAGCTATGTCTCCCCTCGGCATGGGGGACGATACCCTGTCATCTGCACCCTCACTATCGCCCTGCTCCACACTCCACAGGGGGTGTGACAACAGAAATCACACCGATGCAGTATCTTCCTCATCTTCCTTGGTGTTGTGTGTTCTAGGGCAGCACCAGGCAGGGGACTGGAGGGGAGGGGAGGGGTGGGAAGGGTCAGTGTCTAGGTGAGAAACAGCAGATGCTGGCTGTTCCTCTGTGAAGGAGCAGGGGTGAGGTAAACAGAAGCTGCTAGGCAGTTACAGGAAGGCTTGCTGGGTAGGTGCCGCCCTTCCTAGCACTGCCTGTGGGACTCTGTGAAGCACTGGCTAGGCTCTGGAGAGAAAGCTGTGGATTTAAATGCTCTATGGATGCTGAGGGGTAGGGATGAAAGCCAAGGTGCCCAGCAAGGCCAAAGTGTCACTCTGAGGCCCCTGCTCTGCCACCTCTGATGCCCTCCTACCTTATCATAAATGATATTTCTCAGGGAAGTCTCGATATTCTTGTGGAATAGCTGGATCAGCCACCTGGAGGTTGACATGTGGGGACATACAAAAGGGACTTTCAGCTGTGCCTGGGAATCCTGGCAGCTTGCCCTGGGTCATGTAGCCTTCATTAGACATTTCTTCCTATTTCTAGCAACTTGTTTACGGGACCATTTTCTTAATAGCTACAGACAACTGCCCCATCCCATGTCTGCCTCCGCAAGACCCCATCTCCCTGTAAACCAGTGGTATGGGCTTGCCTTGTTCCCTGGTACCCTGTGCTTGCTCTCCCCACAGTTTGCACATGTGTCCAAAGCACCCTATCGCCAACTTCTACCTACTCATCCTTTCATCTCAGTCCAAATGCCATTTCCTCCTGCCCCCAGACTGGGCCAGGTCCTCCAGTTCTATGTGTCTGGGGCACTATGTACCTTTTCTAAGTCTAGGTTCTTATCGCCCTATGCGAGCCCTTCACTGATGTAATAAAACTACTAAGATGCCACACACACACACACACACTCCCGTGGGCCTGGTGCTTTAAGAGAACAGGCTGGGCTGCCTTAGGGCCTATGGTCAAACAGCCTGTCTTGACTACTCCATGGTGGTCATGAAACCTCTTTCTGAGTTCACTGGGCCGATGGTGTGAGAGCATGGATGTGCTGAGCTGTGCTGGTTGTACAGCAAGGCTCTGGTTGATGAAGGCAGCCCTGAGCTTTTATTGATGCCTGCCATCATCTGTGCAGGCTTCTGATGCAGAGCCAGTTTCATAAGTGATTGTGGGAGGAATATGGACACCTGTCAGTACTCAGCTTGAGTACTGCCTTGAAACGACGTCTGCTCTCCCTGTCCCCCCAGGCCCGGCCCCTCACATACCCAAGGCTCTGAAAAGGTCTATAGGTCCGTGGGGGAGGGAGGGTGAGTCTACTTTCTGAGGAAGGGAGTTTGGGGGGACAGTCTCCTCATGGGACTGCAGCCCTGGGAGACCTACCCCAGCATGCTGCCTGAGATCTGGACACGGACCCTGCCAATGTGACTGCTGCAGAAGGAACACTTGACATTGAGGTGGCCTGAGGGGTTCCTGGTTATCTTCAGGTCAGAAGATATGGAGACACGTTGGATGCTCAGGCCAAACTTGCCACTGGCTTTGCTGAAAGGGAGACAGAGAGAAGTGACCTGGATCGAATCCTTCCCTCATACTTCTCCCATCAGTGGGGACCTCAGGCTCCCTGTTGGCCCCACTCCAAGGATGCGGGTTTGTTAGAGAGGAGAGGCAGCTGTGCAAACCTCACAACACTGGATGTCAGGGTTCTAATCTGATACCCCAATCTGTTTTCACCTGGTACTCTCCCCCCCACACACACCTTGAGTGGCTTTGAGCACATATCTTAACCTCAAGGATCTTCACTTTCTTCACAAGTACCCAGACCTTGTACTAGCAGCTGAACATGGAGGGTGTACACCTCACTTTTGTTACTAAACATTGGAGTGTTTGGTGTCATGACTTTAAGCAATTGCTGACCCACTAATTGATTAATCAACTTAATTAATCACTACCCCTGTAGGAGTGACAGGGGACAAGAATATGCATGGCCAGCCCTGCCTTTTGCACTTTTTCTATCACTAATACGATGTTCTGGGCAGCACATAGGACCTCAGAGAAGGAGCCACACCCCTCAGCTGGGCCTAGCTGATACACAGATACAAACAATGCATCATGGTTACAGTTTCAAGCCACTGAGATTGGGATGGTTGGTATGCAGCAGCAGCAGCAGCAGTTGGCTAATACAGGAAGAAACCAAAAGGCCGACTTAGCTTTCCTTCCTTCTGAGCACACACACCGACTCAGTCTTGCCACGTCCTGCACTGGGATGTGAACCAACTCGGCTCTTCATGCAGGTTTCCATCAAGTGTTTTTAAGTGGCAACCCCACCAGGGACCCCGTGGTGACACATGTCTATAGACAAGGCAGAAGAGGACATTCCCAGCGCCCTGGCTCTGATGCCCCCAAGTGCCACCAATCTACCCAGCAGCCCCTGTACATGAGACTCACAAGAAGTTCTTCTTTGATTTCCATCTTCCACTGATCTTGATACCAGCATCCCTGATGAACAGCTGGAGGCCATCGGTGGGCAGCAGATTGACATGGGGATTAGGAATGTGAAATCCGTCCACAGTCATACTGCAGAGGAAAAAGTTCCAGTCAGCATCCTGGACCAGGAGGGCTTCGTAAGGCCATGCCAACCGGAATGTGTCATTTGGTGTCTCTGTATCTAAGGTTCCTTGGGTTCACAATGGACACATCTTGTAGGATGAGTGACTGTCGACAAAGATGGCAGACTTGACTGAGGGCTCTGGATAGGGTGGACTGTGTCTGCCTGTTCTCACTGTCGGAATGTGAAATCAACTGCTGTGACACATAGTAGGTGCTTCAGATGTCTGCTGAATGGACCGGGCATAAAATTCTCTAGGAAACACTTGGGGTTTTCTGTCCAGCAGCCTCGCCCCCTTTCTTGGGACAGCAGACCTGCAAGTGTACTTTGGGAAGCCGTCTCACCCATTCCACGCTAGGAACCCACCTGTCTTTCTTGGGGATGGGACTTAAGCTTAGCTCATTAATCTTTTCTACTCCTCTGGCACAGTAATTGGTTCAGGGGCATGTACATTATTTAAACTTGGCTAATCAGAGTGTACCTCAGAGCTTTGGTTTGTGTTGCAAGGAGAAGGCTTCTTCCTGGAGTAGAGTAGCAGGAATTGTGCTCTTAGAATTACCTAGTAGCTTGATTGTCTCTGGAGGATTAAGAGGACCTGACACTGAGAGGTGGCAAGAAAGACCAATGGTCCAATGGCACATGAGTCTGGCTCAAGCGGGCCTTGGGCTGAACTACCCAGTCTTGTGAGGTAATAGCTCCGGCACAGGCCGTTTTTTTCTGTCCCTGAAATACATGTGTGTAGCACAGGGTTTTGAGTTTCATGATGTCTCCAGTGGAAGTGGAGGGGTGCTGGAAAGATAATTTTGGTGGCTTCATCCAGGCCCAGCTTGAGGTGCCATGTCCCCTTGGGCTGGTGTGCATGCTGGGTTTGGAGTGTTGAAGTCCATGAGCTGAAAACTTGATTCAAGTCCCTATGACTCCTATCTGGAGGACTAAGCCTTAACAAGCCTCACCTGTGGAAGTCGTAGTAACCTTTTCCCAGGTGCTTCATCTTAAAGACTCCAGAGAAGTTGGGAATTTTGATGGTTTTTAGCTCCTTCTGCAACACGGCCACAGCCTCCCGGCATGCTGGAGGACAGAGCAGAGACAAGCTCAGAGCTCAGCTGGCAAGCAGGCCTGGAGGCTTCAGACCCCTGGGCCTGACCTCATGATGCCAGTGGAATGGGCAAGGTGAGCAGGGTCTGTCTTGAGCCTGTGGTTCACCCCTCCTCCCACGCTGTGTACTGCTTCAATATCACTCAGGCAAAGACAGAAAGGTGACCATGTCCCAACACTGCACTGGAAACCCTGAAATTCATATGCAATGGGCCATTCTTCTTTTGATTTTTTTCCCAACCATTTGAATCACAGAGACCTGTAATCCTAGCATTGGGTATGCTGAGGCAGGAGAGCTTGTATTTAAGACCATATAGCAAGACCCTATCTCTAAAAAACAAAGCAACTGCCTAAAGAGATGGCTCAGTAAAGTGACTGCCACATAGGATAAGGACCAGAGCTCAAGTTCCCAGAACCCACAGAAATGCTGGATGGTATGGTGACTTGTCTGTAATGCCATTGCTCAGGAGGTGGGGACAGTGGTCCCAGAGCAAGCTGGCTGGCTAGAACAACTGTATCAATGGGCTGGATTGAAGATTTGCCTCAACATGCAAAATGGAGAGTGATCAAGAAAGACACCCAGTGTCAATCTCTGGCATCCACACGACACACGGACGCCCTCACTCACACACAACCATGTGTGCCCATACACACAAGTGAACATGAAGAATACCCCCTCCAAAGTGCATGGGGGACAACACCTGAGGTTTCCTCTGGCTCCCAAATAAACCCACACTCATGTGTTCACCCTCATGATCATGTACATATACATACCTCCCACCCCCCAAATAAAAACCTTACTAGCTCACAGGCCATACAGAAATATACAGCAAGCCACATTGCGTCTATGGGCTGTAGTTTGTGAGCCCTGGTCAGATATATCACCCCCAAGCAGCCAGTCAAGCATTCTTTCCCCATACTTAGGCTGTATTCCTACCAACACCTACGTCATTCTTCTAGACGGTTTCTACAGGACCTTTGCCCCTGTGACTCCTGCTATCCGTCTGGAGTCAACTGTTCAACTTCTAACTTCCTTCGGGAAGCTTCCCTGACACAGATATTACTGTCCTCACAGCCTTGGATGTCTCAATGAAGCACCCATTTTTCTTTGCAATTAAGCATCTATTCACAGTGACTCTCATTGATGTCACTCTCCTTTGCTAAGTGAAAGTCCCCAGAAGTTGGCGGCAATGTCAGTTTTTATGTATTAATGCATCTCTGGTATTTACTGTGGTGCCTGGCACTTACTATTTGTTGAGTAAATAAATGAATGCCCCAAAGGCAGGAATTCTGCCACCAGTGATGAGGTGGCTGACAGCATCAAGGATCCAATTAACAGGCAAACATGTTGCCGGAGGGGAGAGGAGGGAGGCAGAGAGGTGAGCTGAACAGGTTTCCGGTTTCCCAGGAACCAAGTGGGACTTAGTCATAACCAGCAATAACAACAATAAAATGCTCTGGGTCTTCCTGTCCAGCAGGCTCTGCTTGCTGCAACTCGGAGCAATCCTAGGAAGAGGTTCCTCTCACCCCTTCCCATCCCCCACACGAGGAAACAGGCTGGGGAAGGCCAGTGCTGCTCCAGAGCCCACAGATGAGGTAGCTAGAGGCAGGATGGAAATGCAAGCCTCTTGTTCCCTGAGCTCGGGCCCCAGGGTCAGCCTTTGGGTGTGCGGCATGGGGAGAAAGGCACACACACGAATAGGCTTGCTGCTTTTTCAAAACCTCACTCCAGTTGCCACATGGGACACCAGCAGAAGAGAAAAGTGAGGCAGCTGTGAGGACTTCTGCTGAGCCTCTGCTCCCCCGAAGCTGTGACACACATGCACTCCTGTGGCCACACACACACACACACACACACACACACACACACACACACACACACACAAAGTAGGGGAATCTGTCTGCATCCCTGAGATTCTGAACCATCCTGCCTAGGCTGAAACGTGAGTTCTGGGGTAAAAAAGCAAATCCCCTGGGGCCTGGACCTGTGCACACTGGTTTTGAGGTCCTGTCACTGCCTGGTCTGGTTTGAGCAGTTCCTCTCTCTGTCACCGGGGGGCAGCACCAAGAAGTTCCTTGGAGGGCAGCGAGGACCTGAGCTCAAAAGCAGGTGCGCGCCTCCCAGAGCCTCTGCTCGACTCGGGTGTGCTTACCTGCGGGAGTGGACAGGAGTGGTATGTCCCACCCAGTCCTTCAGTGGAAGAAACAGGACCTGGTGGGTCTGTGAGGCGCCTGGCAGCGAAGCAGGTGTGTGGAGCTGTTACCTTCCTGGGCTTGGGGGAGTAGTCTGGTGTAGTCTGCCAGCCGAGTTGGGACATCTCACTGGAGAGCCAGCCCCTCACCTAGCCTGCTCAACCTCACCAGGCAAGGCAGACCTCAGGCTTCGGAAAGAAAGGGCCTAGAAATTTGCTCTAGGGGACGGTGTACAGAGAAGGGACCATGGGGACCTTCAGGGACCGGGGACATTTGGAATCTTTAGAACTGTGGTCCAGTACCAGCTCTGCCACTTCCCAGCCTTATGAGCTTGTGCCTTAGTTTCTTCCTATGTCAAACAGGGGAGAGGGGTCTTCCCAGAAGAGCTATGAGCTTGCCAGGCACCAGATTTAAAGGGCTGTGCATCCTAAGTGCTCAATTAGTGCCCCTCAGGATAAGGGAGGAAGAGAGAAAGGCATCCAATTACCGAAGTCCAGACCCATCTGGGTGATTACGGCCACGAAGCCAGGGTTGATGGCCGCTGTCAGAGCTGTGCCCATGATGGCCAGCAGCGCCAGGGTTGACCATCTCCGCACGTTGTCAGGGCCCCAGGCCATGTCCTCCAGGGTAGCCCAGACCTCAAAGCTTCGGAGGGGAACCTGAGACCTATAAGGAAGCCTCCTGGGAAAGGGCAGGGCAGTAGTAGAAAGAGGAAGGAGGAAGGCACCCGTGGGGGCGGAAGGGGGAGGGCAGCTGCGGTTCCCCATCAACGTTGGGGACCAGTCCAGGGGCTGCCCCAGTGGAGCCTGGAGGTCTGTGCGAGCATGGGCATGTGCGCATGTGCTGGGCACGTGCGTGCGCATGCATGCTCGCGCGCGAGCCTGTTGAGGCCTGTGGCTCTGGGGCTGATGCCTCTTCCTAGGCACCCCATCCCTTTCCCGAATCATTTAAGGCTTTCTTCAAAGCTGGGTGATGACCCCATCTAGATTCACTGTATCTATGTGCTAATCCTTTGGTATTTTCCTAGCAAGATGTTTAAGAAAACAGGACCTTTGGAGCTTTATTTTTTTACCCTGGGAGGCCTGGGGGATTTTTAAGTGCTCTAATTCTGGAGTCTCATCCTTTGCATCTCTGCTACTCTCTAAGGTTGACGTTAGGCAGGTTTCGGCCTCTCTGAGCTTCTCCAAGCCTTGGTTTCCTCTTCTATAGAGTAGGGAGACTATCACTCTTACCCCTAGCTTAACAAGAGGTGGAATGGCCTGACAGCAGGGAAGGCAGGCACAGCCTTTGGGATAAGAGAATCCGGATGGCAACATTAGCCAGAGCTTCAGAAATAAACACAAGAATAAGTTACACGGACTCTTCTCCAAGAAGCAAGACCAAACATATTTTAATTTTTTTCCTGTCCTATTTTTTTTTTCCTGGCAAGTGCCCTGCCTGTTTGTTTTTCTGTCAGAAATGGGATCACACTGGGTAGCCCTGTAAAGTTCCCTTTTTTCTGAATAATAAGCAGCGGACGTTCTCGCTCAGCATTCAATATTCCATCGTTTCCTCAGCCCACAGTTTTCTTAACCAGATATCTGTCTCACCCCTCCCTCTGACGGATGAAGACTTGAGGCTTCCAGGGGACAAGAGGCTACTCTCAGAGCCAAGATGCTTCAGACACCATTGGAATCAGAACCGGGAGAGTCTGGCTGGAGGGGAGAGGTAGGGACAAGGCAACATGTGGGCGTGACCCCGTTAGGCTGCCCTCGTCTCCATGGTGACCAGAGGGGGGTGGGCTTCGGAGGCTTATGGAAGTCTAAGGAAGCCTGGGTCCTCCTGGGGTTTCCTTTTTCTCTTATCACCTGGTTCTAATCGGAGGTCCCCCCTCCTGCTGTCTGTCTGCCCCAGCTGGAGTCTCCCGCCCTGCAAAGGAAGGAACACAGAGCTATGTACACAGAGCCTGCCAGATGTTTCACAGGGATCCTTGCCAAGGCTCAAGGAGGGCTGGCTGCTTTTTCCCTCTATGCGAAGATACCAAGTCAGATGACAGTCACTGACCTTCAGGAGGAGGTGAGGTGGCGTTTCCAGGAAGACTCGTCCCTGGGTTTTCCCCCTTTGCACCTCATCCAGAACCTTCCTTTTACACTCACAGGCAGCAGGAACCATGACCGGTCATAAACTGCCATGTTTAGAAAATAATCTTGAACACTTTCACATACAGACATACACTCAGGCAAAACACCGGTACACATAAAGTTAAAAAATCTATCTTTAAAATTAAAATCAAATGTAGAGTGATTCAGAAACACACAGAGAACAGATGTCCCAGGTTTATGAAATCTTGACATTGTGCATATACCCTGGTGTCATTTCTTTTATTCCTATGGACTTCTGGTCTTCCTAAGTTTTTTGTTTTTGTTTTTGTTTTTTTAATTTTGTGTGTGTGTGTGTGTGTGTGTGTGTGTGTGTGTGTGTGTGTGTGATGTGACTGCAGAGGCCAAAAGAAGGCATCAGATCCCCCGAGCTGGAATTACAGACAGTTGTAAGATGTCTGAAGTGAGCCCTGGGTACTGAACCCAGGTCCTCTGGGTGAGCTATATTACATTCTTTAACCACGGAGCCCTCTCCATCCTGGACTTTCATTCTGCTCAGACTGTACATCTGCTTCATCACCACCCCACACCCTATTCTGCCATCCTGACTCAACATGGCTTAACTGATGAGCAGAACCTGTGGACACAACAGGACTTCATGGAGACTGTCAAAAGTGGACTGGTCCAGAGGCCCATTCTGGGCATGTTTCTGCTCTTGGTCCTTACTCTGTTGAAAGGTAAACTGGGGTGACAGCCATGCAGACCTGGGTTCCTGGCTCCCACCTTGTCATCTGCTCCTGTGAGAGTCTGGCTAGGAGAGACAGTGCCTGTCCTGAGAGTGTGCTGACAATAAAGTGAGCTGTCAGGTATGAGTGGAGTGGCACACACAGCTGCTAGCTTAGTCATAATTTGACTTTGCCCTCAGCTGGCAGGGGAGGCCCAGATTCTCACTATGACAGCTCACTGGGGCCCCACTGCAGAACTGTGGGACCTCTGGCTTCTGGGTTTGTCCTGAGTGAGTGCAGACAAAGCACTCCATGGCTCTTGTGAGCTTCTGTGAGCCTTCCACTCAGCCACTCCCATGGGCAGCAGGCCTCAGCAGCAGCAGTTAAGAATGAGGGTGGAGCCTCAAGGTCCCAAGTTCTGGAACCACTGTTTGTTTGTTATGTGACTTAATTTTGCTGAACCTTAGATTTCTCCTTTGTTACCATACTCCATTCTTAGACACCAGGCCTCTCATTAGCCCTGAACACTCAGCTTTCCCAAGAGGCCATCTTATGGCCAATGAGACCCTACAGGCCCTCCCTGTCTCAGCTCTTATTCTCAGACCTTCCCTACCCGCTTCCCCATCTGGGACTCTCCTCCTCTGCTGGGAGCCAGGCTTCCTGTCTATGCTGTGACAACTCCCTGTTCCTGGCAGATGTGGAGGTGTACATAGCAGATGTGAGGGTGCAGGGCAGACAGGTTCTTGGGGAGACCAGGGCTAATGGAAGAGGACCCAAGGGGCACCAGACACTTTTTACTCTGACAGTAATTAGAGAGGGCCTCCCCTACTTTGTTATGCTGCCCAGTCTCTCCTAGATCCCAAGGGGCCCTTTGAGTTACTTGGTACTAGAGGACACCAGCCTCCAAGGGGCAGAGCTAGCTAGGTTAGCATTTTAGTTTACTTTCTATTGCTGTGATAAACACCACAAACCACAAGCAACTTGAGGAGGGAAGGGTATATTTCAGCTTATAGCTATAGTCTATCATGAAGGATCCAAATCAGGACAGGAATGCAAAGTAGGAACAGTAGCAGAGACCATGGCAGAGTGCTGCTTATTGGCTTGTTCTCCACTGATTTCTCAGTTTGCTTTCCTATACCACCCAGGACCACCAGCCTATGGTGGAGCTACTCCCAGTGTGCTGGGCCCTCCCACATCTATCAATAAAGAAAATGCTGTTGAAACTTGCCTCCAGGAAATCTTATAGAGGCATTTTCTCAACTGAAGTTCCTTTTCCCAGATATCTCTAGTATAGATTGACAAAAACAAAACAAAACAAAAAAGCAAACAAAAATCAAAAAACAAAAACAAAACAAACGAACAAACAGGACAGTCAGATACTTTCCTCAGCCATCATCACTATCACCACTATCATCACCATCATCACCATTGCAGTGTTAGCTTGGCCATATGGGGAAACGAAGGAGGAACCCAGAGCAGGAATTGTAGCCTATGAGGTATACATGAAGGATGCGTTTGGAGACAGCTACTGTCTCCCAGCTGCCCTCAGACTTCCAGGAGGTGAGGGAAAGCAGCTCCCATGAGAGTCCTTCCTGCTGGTCTCAAGGCCTAGCTGTCCCAAGCTGGAATTTTGGCTCTCCTGGCAGGCCTTGCTTCAACCAAGCCAGGGAGCAATGCCAGGAAGATAATAGCCCACAATTAGTTGCCAAATGTCCAAGGGCCCCCACGCTTGACAGGGGAGCTGTCACATACAGCCTGTGGGGAAATTTGCATGTGCTCAGCTAGGAAGTGAAGGGCTGTCCTGAATGAAGCCAGCTTTCTGGGCCAAGCTCAGCTGCAAGCTTCACTCTGCTCTTTGTGGTAGAAGGGAGCTTAAGCCAGGAGCGAAGAGAGCAAAGCAGGGCAGGAGGAAGGAAAGGACGGAGCCTGCTCATAAGCACAAGCTTGCCTCTCCTAGCTCAGAATACCTGGATGTCTCAGTTTCCCTCTGGGTTCCAAGGCCTTAACCATAAGAAGAGCCACCATCTTGAAACAGTTGAATCTATTCCAAAAAAAAAAAAAAAAAAAAAAAAAAACACAAACCCTCCAAGGCCCTGACTGACACTCTCTTTTAATCATCTTTTAAATTCCAAAGCTATGGGGGTGATGGGCTTCACAGATAAGAAAATTGAGGCTTGGAGAACTAAAGTGACTCACTCAGGACTCCACAGCTGAGAGGCAGCAAAGGGCTACTGAGGGAAGGAGAGGCTTCATGGCTCCCAGGAGGCCTCACAGGAACACAGGAAGAGAGTGGAAGGCATTTAGCTGCCAAATGTCTGAGGGCCTCTCATATCTACAGTGTCCACAGTCACAATGGGAAATTCAGGAGTGACTATAGGACACCAGGACTCCCAGTGTCTCGTGAAAGGCATTTGTAGGCAGCAACAAAAGCCAGTGCTTCCATCTCTCTCAAGTTGGTATGGCCCAGAAACACCCCAGAGACCCGTCCTTTCAAATTTCTAAGACCTTGGCCTTGCCCTTTCTCCAGAGAGCTTCTTTCCAGAGTTCCTACACACACTTCAAGCCCCAGGGTCACCTTCCATGTGAAGCCCTCGAGGTACTCTTGGCTCCCTCTAGACCCTGTCTCCATCGCTATTGCTCTGTGTGACTGGTATCAGTTCACCAGGCTCAAAGGATTGAGAACAGAACTTTACCAGATAACATGGCCACCTGAGTTGCTTACATATCATGTGACCTTGGAAGAGTGGAATTGACCTTGTGTGGTCAGGGTTAGACTCAATGAGCTGCTATACTATAAATACAAAATAGATGCTTAGTAGTGGCAGCCATTTTATTGTAGTTTTTCATTGATAATGCTGTCAATTTAGAACTAGGA